CTAGAACTACAAGAACTCAATAATCACATTGAATATGGTTGTAGTGATCCAAGGATGCATCCTCTTCATCAAGACAAGGCAGAAAGATCCTCAAAAGAAGCAGAAAAGAGGATTGATGACGATTTTGGAAATCTCACAAAGGTACTCCAAGATTACGTTGAGGACCACAAGGTCTTGCCTTACTGTATGATCTTGCATAGCTTGGCTTACAGATATTTAGGTGGAGGCCTATCAGACCCAACATACAAGGATGCCGAATTTCCATACAGATCCTCTCCACAGATAACAGCAATGTTTTGGAATTTGGGAAACTGGTGCAGAAACAGATTTGAAAAATGCCCGGTTCCAGAAAGATTTCAACAATTCATTCCACACATTGACTACACTATCGATGAGGATCATGAAAAATTTGATGAAACCAAATCACAGTTCAACAATTACTTCATCAATGTCATCAAGAACTTTGGAGGACATCTTTTCATGAATTGCGAGGCTGGTTCATTGTATCCTCACAGAGAAAGACTCGACGAGGTTGACTTTAAAACTTGCTTCAATGACTATCATGACTTGATGGTGGCAGCTCGCCTTGGAAAGGATGGCTATATCAAGCAAATTGCTGGATATCACACAGATGACAACGACACACGAGTTCGACAAGTCTCATGGGCAATCTTTGAAGTATCTTGGGGAAAGACAAAGGATCGAGATACAGATGAGATTGTTGACTTGACAAGAGCTAGGATGAGGATGACACGTGTGTGCGTTTATCACGTCGGACAGAAGTATGCATCAGACTCTGCTGGGATTGTTGGTGAGTGCTTAGCTGTTATGGCTTTTGAGTGTGCCAGATATCAAGTTGACTTCATCGCAGGTGATGGAAACAAGGCATGCTATTACAGCACACCAAAATCTCCAGGCGTCCCTACATATCAACATAGCCTAATCCAATTCTGGATTAACAGAATGATGGGTGTTGCAACACAAGCCATGCGCAAGCATTTTGATCCATCTTGCCCTCCAATCAGGGTCAAGCATTTCATTTCTTGCAGTTATCGTGACTTGGATTTTCTTGCAACGCACTTGGATGGCATTACAACAGCAACATACACCGACGAGCTCATGAACAAGACAACCGGTAAGGGTGATTGCTGTATGTTAACAGTTGTTGAGTGGGGTCATTCACGTTTGATGTGTGAGGAACGCCCAGAAGACTTTGATGGAGATGAAGATCGCATGAACTATGTGGGTGAATTTTACTTCAAGGTAAATGAAACTTGCTTACATGGTGATCATAACATCTTCATGGTTGCCCCAAATGATCGTGATGCTCACAATCCAATTCTTATTTCTGATATGTCATGGAATGAACGACATCATTACAAACAGGCTTTCAAGAAGAAGCAGTATGCAGATACAAGAAAGGAAAGACAGAAGGAGAAAAAGAGAAAGGCATATGAAGATCAAGCATCAACGTATCAGGGCAACGTTAGTTGGGGTGGATCCTCATCTTCAGCGTCCAGACCATGGAGATCAAGTGAGTGGCGATGAGTGAGTGTATACTTCTTTAAATGAAGATAACACAGCATGAGAAGCCTTGTACAGTTTTTCTGTGCATTCAACTTATTTCACACAGATGGCATATACTCTTTTAGATAGAGATAATGCCACAAGTGTCTGAACTTCAATTTAATGTAAAATAGATACTCTTGTAAATAGAGATACTATAACATTTATCTCCATGAACCATCCGGCGAGCAGACCACTCCGAATGGAGCGAACTCCAAAAATTACCAACTTCGATTTCAGTCCATTGTTTGCTTGAATGAGCAACTTTGGAGATCCGCTATTTCCGTTTATTTCGTGATTTGGTCAATTGTTTTTCGTATGACCTGAATTTCTGAATCTTGCAAACCCGAACTTTTCAATTCGAACCTTCACCGGTAGAGCGAGGCATTTTGCCTATGGAGAGACCGTGCGCGAAGCACCATTGGTCACTACTGGAAAAATTAGCGAATCCGCTGTTCTTTTTCGACATGTCCTTAGGACATTCGCTGCTTTCACGTGTTTTTCAATTCGAAGCCACTGCGTAACTCCGGTTTCTTTTGCTATTTGCCATTGTGTAGAGAAGTCAGGAAGATACTCTTAATACCAATTGGGTACGGCAAGGCGTAGTGCTCTACTCATTGCTTTTGAATTTGTGCCTGTGTTTTTGTTTCGACCTAATACCTACATAGGTACATGCATGAGTATTGAGCACATTTATATGCGCCCTTCAAGGCTCAAGAGGTATATAGAGTAAGCCTGTGGACAAGCACTGACCGGCAACAGGCTGAGAGTAAAGTAAAATAGTGCTGTCATTGGGGAAGACGCCTTAGCTGATCTTGAAGTAGACGCTAGGGCCCCTCTTCACCCCACCCCCCCAACCCCCCCCACCCCCCCACACCCCACGGACAGCTATTCCAATGTTGGATAATGAGTTCTATGGAACGCAAGCTGCCTGAACGTTTTATACTCCCCCCACCCCCCAACCCCCCCCACCCCCCCACCCGCCCAATGGTCACGAGCTCAGAAACCTTGTTTGCTTCGGCAAACCCCTACGGTTGACCCAACATGTTGCAACAAATGCTCCCAGAAATCCTTGGCCTGAAGAAATCAATTGCTGTGGGTTGAATCAGCGCCTGCATGGAAGAGCAACAGCGTTCGCTTCCTTTAAAAACTTTAAAAGAAAGCCCTTGACTGAAATTCTATATAATTCTATCTAGAATCATCATTTAATTCTATATGAATCTAAATGTTACCATAGAGATCATGAAGTCCGTTGGAGTGGCCCACTGGCAAATTTCAAATTTCAATGGGAATTGGGCTGCCGAGTGGCCCTTCGGGGAGGCCTTCGATAAATTCATGCGCATTCGCCAGCTTCGCAGCGTTTTCCACGTCCTCTTGGAACAAGAATCGCTGAAGTCAAATTAGCGCATGATTCAAAGGCAGAGAGTGAGGTCAGCAAGAGTCACGTCAGAAGGTGGTCAAAATGACAGGAGCTAGAGCTAGAAATCCTTTGGAAGAACGGTACGACATGGTTCACGTTGCGCAGGAGGAACTTATTGTTCGAATATGGCTGCCCCATACTGCAGCGCTCAGCAAATCATGGCACATGAAAAGTCTCAGCAGGCCCTTTACCATCAACAACTGGAAGATCAAAACCTGTCCTCATGAGTGCACTCTGACTCACGTAGTCCATAGGTGATGTTCCTTGATTGCACGACCAAGTCCAACATGTGCAAAATGAGAAATGGCAAGAATGCTCAAAAAAGAGGGAACCAATTTAAGGAAAAAAACATCATCCGTGCAGACGGGGACAGTCTTGCAAATTCTGAACTATGTCCTCAAAATTGCCATGGCTCAGCTGCAAGTGCGGAAAAAGAAGTGATGAATATTGATGAATAATAAAGTAAAGTAAATCTGTTCTGCTTATGTAACTTTTGTCGTTTTTTTTATGTTTTTTTTGCAGGGAATCTCCACCTCCCCAAATTCCATCCACCGAGAGTCTGGGACACAGTCAAACGGAAGAGTTGAGTGTCCTGGAGGGAAGGACATCCCGCTCCCAAAACACGGAGCAAGCTGAGCAAGCTGCCTTCCCATAAATTAATGTAAATTACATACAACGGGGGGACCATGCACTTAGATGCACTTAGACTGTTTCTGCCAACCAATATATTTGTTTGACATTGTTTGACCATCGGGAGATTCTTACGGTGTAAAACCAATACGCAGCTGACTGGGGAAGAGTCTTCCCAGGCCTGCTCAGCCTGTAGAATTCCGTGCTTGGGCCGCGATTCTTGAGTCTGAACACATCCAAACCCAAGAGGCATCAGCTACCAATAGCTTCATGATCCTGTCCTAGGGCACGACAACACGTGCATGGCCGGTACAGAAGCAAAACGTCCTGCGAGACAACACCCACCTTGCTCCGGTATTGCTGTAGGTGCATCCGATGCAACTCCGATGCATTGAGGAAGACCCTTGGACAAAGGTGAATGCAGCAATGAAAGCGAAACGCACAATGGTAGTTTAGAAACCTGCGCAAAATGTCATGAAATGTTGCTTTCTAGCTACTGTCTGTGAAGGGAAGTGGGGTTCATCCCACTTCCTTGTCATTAGCCTTTTTTCAGTCCCTACTCATAATCACCGTTGAATTTCTTTCAAACCCAGGTGACCAACACACATATATTTCATGTTTGCGTTCTCACCAAGAAATGGTTTCACGATGCAAATGTGCCGCATGTTGGGAATTGCAGAATCTACCCTGCATTGCTCGGCGAGGACATGTATCAAAAGACTTGTTGAGAACAAGAAAAAATCATAAAATATGGCAAGAGTGTCTGGGGCAAAACGCATCAAAACATATATAAAAACTCACAATAAGTCTTCTTGCAAATTGAGGAACGCTCCGCTTTGTGGGTCATAGAAACGCAACAGCAGTTTGCCTTGGACTCCAAGTGAAAGCAAACATAGTAGGCGTTACAAAGCAAGGGACATGTTTTTTCAGATTTTGACCGTCTGAGCGCCTTCCAAAGTTTTAAAAGAAAACATAACTATACTGCAACATACTTAAAAGGTGTCGGACTGGTAGAAAACTGCCATACGAAATTGTTCTTTGGTGGTTTAGGAGGGGGTGTGGGGTAGGGGGATGGGGGGGTGGTGCCAATAACGTTCACTTACACAAATACTTGATGCTATGCTAGACTGCTAGAAACATTTTTTTTGCACATACACACATACTTCCTGCTACGCTACAGACATTTCTCTTGCGTTCACACACACATGTTTTTTTATCCCTACTAAATAGGGGGGGCTCTAGAACATGTAACTTACATTTTTCAGGGGTAGGGACCTAGAAAATGTGATTTTTTCCAATGATTTTGGAGCCTAGAACATGTATGCCAATCCGGTTGCAACTAGAACTGTTCCAATCTGCATCTGGCACTTTGGTACCCACACACTTTTTCAAAGCGCTTGCCCCCGCGCAGCTGTCTCCAACTATGTCCAAGTCAAGAAGTTGAAGCAACTTCAGCTGGCTCTATTCGCCAAGAACTTCTGAACCTTCGGATGGTCACGAGGTCCATGAGCAAGCATCCACCTAGGGCAAGATTTCAGTATGAGTTTTAAAGCATCCCATCGATGATTTTTGATGATCCTAGCGATGCTCTTGTAATTCTTTTGGCGCTACCTAGGCACTTCTCTCTCTCAGCAACAGCATATGCTCTGATCTCCGCGGCGCTCTTTCCTTCATTCTTTGCCAACACAAAGGCTGCAGAATATACCTCAGAAGCCATACACAGTAACTTTATAACTTTAAGGTAAACAAAAACATCCCGGTGGATCGGGAACCGTGCTCGTAAAAACAACGCGTCTTAAAAAAAAATCTACAGCGAAACGCACATTTGCATGAGCCAAATTTGGCCAAATTTGTGGGTTTTGGACACTTTTCATTGGATCAATTTGATATTGTCTTTTCAAAGCACGTGCTTCAGCGTTGAAATGTTTTTTTGCTGGAGCCGAGAATGTAGATTCACATATCGCCATTGCCAGCATTTCACATACAGGAGAAGATCTTTGCTGTTTGAACACAATGAATTGGGGATGAAGTCTTTGACAGCACTCCATGCTGCATCAATTGTTCCAGTATGGCAACTGGCCTTCTCGATTTCATGGTTGACAGTCTTTTCAAACTCACCGCAGTTGTGTGCTGCCCAGCATTCATGCAAAGTAGCGTAGCAACAACATGACCCCCCCCACCCCAACCCCACCACACCTCTTTGTGTATACACCGTAGCAACATTACCAAGAGATCTCAGCACGTACGAAGCACAAGGAACGTTAACATGCCCCCCCACCCCACCCCACACCTTCGTGCATACACCGTAGCAACATGACCAGAGATCTCAGCAGCGTAGCAACGTATAATGTAAAAAGCACAAGGAACGTTAACATGCCCCCCCACCCCAACCCCACCCCACCCCTTCGTGTATACACCCTAGCAACATCACCAGAGATCTCAGCAGCGTAGCAACACAAAACGTACGAAGTACAAGGAACGTTAACATGCCCCCCCCACCCCACCCCGTCATGACCTCCGAGCACACGCTAACAAAAACGTGCGTTTTACGAGCACAGTTTTCGGTCCGCTGGCAAAAACATGCTACATACATGTTACCATTTTGAAAAGCGTATGCAGTGTCCTGAACTACGCAAACCAGTTACACAGTGCATTTTCTTCTCGATTTCATCCTTCTCAGCCCTGACCTTTTTGAACACGTCTTTGTCTTTGATCTCTGCCTTTTTGGCTTCTTGTTTCTTAGACATCTTTGACTTTGCCTTCGCCTTCGCTTTTGCCTTTGCTTTTGCCTTTGCTTTTGGCAAAGACTTACACTTGCGCTCCTTGGTTGCACGTGCCTTTGCTCGACCACGCGCATTGCCAACCTTAATGCGTTGCATTCACACTGAACTGGTTTCTTTGGAAGGACAGGAGGGACATGACACATGCCACATATAGTATGAGTTTTGATTGCGGCACATGGTAAGGGAAAGAAATGCCAAGAAACCGGTGGTGATGCCTCTGTCTTCTCAGTCGGCGTTGACTCACCATCAATAGGAGCATTCCCATTGCCAGCATCCTGCAATCAAAGTATTCCCCCAAAACCAATGTAACCTCATCCAAATTGTTTGATGTCCAAGTCCGCAAAATGTCAAGATAAGAGTATTCGAACTGAAGCAAAATCTAGCAACAATCTGCCTCCTCCACAGGCACAGGGAAAAATAATTCAGCAGCGTCCAAATCGGTCACCAAGTCTTCACGAGTATCCTGCGGGAAAGGTTGTAACTAGTAAACACTTGCAGTACCACAGCACTGCACCCTGTTTCATGTGCAGCCATGGATCATGGCCTGGAAGAGCTCTCTAGGCGCCAATGCGGAGAGATCATCATGTGCATTCGATCGGCGCAACTCCTAGGATAGCGACTATATACAGTTGATACTTCTATATGGGGAACAGTTTTCATACAAACCAAAAACTGGTCCAATTGAGTAAGTCCAAATTGTAATGATGAATACGGGGGATGTAGTCCAAGTTTCATTGGATGGGCTGGGCGATGAACTCGTCTTGAAATTCAATGACTCCGCACTGGATAGCAACCCAAGTTGGTTATCAGGGTAAATATGCTGCATGGGTGCCCAACCAGAATTCACTTCGATTGCAGGGGAAGCCGGATCAATCTCAGTGGCTTCATGATCAGACCCCAAACCAATGGCATCCATGGAATCCACATTGTTGGATGTCAAAGGTGTAGCAGGTGGCTCAACGGCTGGACCCACATCGTCGCTTGCAATTCCTGGCGCGGTTGGTGACCCATTTTTTTGACCAAAGCGATTGAACCCCCATGTTCATATATGGTTTATGTTCATATTCAGAAAGAAATCAGAGGCGTACCAGGCCCAGGAGATTCCACCGATTTCTGATCCGCCCATGCATCATCAAAGCCATAGTCATAGACCTGCGACCTAAGATGATGATGTATCCATAAAGGGATCTATCCACGATTCACTGCAGTTCATGGTGTTGAATCAAATCTCAACCAGGTTGCAGGATCGGTGGTGGCTCTGCAGGATCGGTGTAGCAAGTAAGGTTCCTGCAGGGACAGAAGCAAATTTCTCAGACATCTATTATATATTCAAAAATACATCACTGCAAGGAAACATAGTAATAGGCGATGGCAACCATGGGGCCTGGGAACAGGAGTAGCCGTAGCCCCACCACCTTCGATCATATATCCAAAAGGAAGATCTCCGCCAGCCTGACAAAATGGTTGTTGGTTATGTTCACCATTTTCATGTCATGTTCTTTTACCACAAATCGAAAAACTACCCAGTCATAGGCAAAAGGGCTATGTATATGGGTATATCTTGGGTGTCCCCACCTTCTTCGCGGGTCGCTTCTTGCTCCCTGAAGCTGCCCTTGTTTTAGAAGCAGGCCGCTTCTTAGGCTTTTCCTCATCACCCTCCAAACGCAACAGGTCCTCAAGACCCTCGAGATCAGCAGAGTCCTCATCATCATCATCGCGATGAAGGCCCTTTGCTAGCGGCTGGTGGTCATCATCTGGGCTTTCATCGTCATCATCATCATCTCCCTGCTTCTTCATCTTACGTGTGACGGTTTTTGAGCTAGCAGGACGTTTCAAAACATGTTTCTTGGTGGTCTTCTTGGTATCCTTCTTACTTGACTCAGCACCTGGGGATGACTCCTCTGACGTTGTACCAACTCTGGAGGGTATTGCATCAGATGCACCAGAAGTTCGGGCAGAACCTAAGTACACAATGAAGTTAACCTACTGTGTAAAACCAAATTGAACTCTGAGTGCTTATTGGTTGCCATGATGTCAAGGTGAAACAGAAAACAGACCAAGTAACGTTCATCCTTCGGCTCCCGCACTGCAGCTATGGCTGCAGCCTTTGGAGGCACCAAACGTGCTGATGAAGAAGCAGCAGCGGACGACTTCGGAACAGGCTGCTCGGCCAGGAATTCACCCAAATTGAAAGCCTTGGTCAAGAGATTCGGGGATAATGGGGAATATATTTATTGAATCCATAGCTCGGGGATACATACATAGCATAGAACCGTGGTACTGTACTTAAAACTGGCACAGCTGGGTCGACGTTCAATCCAAGGAACTGGTGGGGTGAAGTCAGCTTTTGGAGTCACCAGTCGCACATCATCCGAGTCACTATCACTCATCCCTAGAAGACCTAGAAGTGTCACTAGAGCGGCCTGATCCTTCCCAAAAACAGGCTTGAAGTGAAACCTTGAGGGAAGAATATTGTTATATTTGCAGTTTCAATTCAATTCAAGTCAGACTCACACAAATTCAGAAGGCCATGCGCATGCACTGGCAACTGGTAGATTTTGTGACCGCTCATGTGATTGCCAAAGCGAGGACCCAAATCAGGATGGAATCCATGCGTCAAAACATTCTTCCCCAAGGATAGAATCTGAATTTCAACAAGAATTCACAATATTTTCAATGCAGTGATACATCGGTTTGCAGCTGCCCTGGGAAAGCCCAACATATGCTCTTAGAGAGCTGGTATCAAAAGACCCAAGGATCAAAGTGGAAAAGACCATGAAGGGCCTTTCATGCTTTCAGTCAGCATCAAGATGGCGGTTCAAGAATTTACCACATGGATCCACATGATGGTTGCAGTTTTGGGATGGTGATCGCGTCAGAAAAATCTTTGGGACGATGGTTTCTCCAAAATCTAGAGACCACCAACACCAACACTGAGCCAGACTGACCGTGCACACTGGCCATTCCTATTCAGATTTGCTCACTCACACCAGGCGCACAGTAGCCGTGTCATCGAGATCCATGCCCCCGGAAAGGCAAGCGATAGGTCGAATGGGGACAATCTTCTTGCCACCGTCCACACTGTCAAGCCTGAAGACAGTAAGCTCATAATATTTGACGCGATCACCATCCCAAAACTGAAACCATCATTTGTTAAGTTTCTGAACCACCATCTTGATGCTGACTGAAGGACTGAAAGCATGATATGCCATTGCGGTGGTATGAATGTTAGATTTCACTTGTGTGGTAATGATACAGTGATTCAGTCCTGCAACGCCATCCGCACAAGACCTTCTGGGAAGACTTGAACTTTATGATGGAAATCCTAGATCCAAAGTTCTTGGCATTGGGGACAAACTTGGAACCCTTGGTGCTCTTTCTCTTCTTTTTCTTCTTCTGCTCTTCAGGCTCAGCATCATCTTTGGGCTCGTCCATCACAAAGACAAGGGGTTTCTCGGCAGTCACATGCGGCACTTCCGCTGATGTCGAGTGGTGGGAGATTTTGACACCCACCTTCAGGGATAATGATGGATGATGGATAGCCTAATGATGGGACATTGGTGGGCTGAAACTCATTGATTGGATATATTGTAGGTGCATGGGAAACATTATATAAGTTTGGAAAGCGCAGCTGCTAAGCACAAAGTGTTGGTTTGGCTAGCCTCCCCCAAATCTTCCAGTTCAGCCAAAACCTTTTTCAAGAATGTGGGACGATCAAGGGCGTTCATTTCCAACAGGTGTTCCGGGACATCCTTCTTCTCTAGCACGATCACGCTGTCCATTGCCAAAGAGAATAAGAACCAGCGTCCGTCCGGACGTTGTTGAACCATTTCCTTTGCTTCCTAAGTGCCACAAATTTATGTTCACAAAGGGGTAGGCTCCCAAGTCAGAAGTAGTTGGTTGGCACATGTTGAAACATGGGGATGTTAAAACTGGTTCCCATTTTTCTCTTATAATGCGTTTTTTAATCCGGAAAAAAAGGGCACCCCATTTTGAGAGATACCCACATATTAGCACGATGATTCATAACAGTTGCGGCCCAGCTTCAGATCCCTCCCGCCACTCACCGCTTCCAAAGCTGAACCTTATTTAGATTTTGAGAGCTGTATATGGTTGGTTTTCATCTTGCATAAAACATTCGAACGGCACTGGTATATAAGTGACAACTCTCGGTGGGACACATAGGAACACTTCCCCTTGCTTGCCAAGTAGATCGCGGTCCCATCCCCGCAAGTCACAATCTCTGTGCTGTTGTTGATGTTGAACTTCAGCCTTTGACAGGGCTCACTAGAATTAATGAAACATGGCTTCCAGATTTGATGAAAACGATTTCATGAACATACCACTATCACTGGTTTTGAAAGATGGATCCAAGCCACGGATTCTGCAGATTTGAAAGATCAGCCTCAGTGCACAGGTCCTGCTGCTCAACTTGATTTTTTCTTCGCTGGCTCCTCGAGGTCATCACTGCCCGCAGTCCTGAAGACCAGGGAGGTCTTAAGCCAAGATGTAGTTGGGTCTATCCACTTGAGGGAAAACAGTTGGGTAGTATCATATTATAAAATCAATGATATATATAGTATATATAATATATATGTTGAATAAGTTATGTTCAAAATTACTTTACTTCGAGTTATCCCCACCATGACATCTATACGTTTTGTTACTGGCAAATCTTCTGGCATTCTATCTGACATATCTTCTGGCATTTTATCTGGCATATCTTCTGGCATTCTATCTGGCATATCTTCTGGCATTCTGCCTGGCATATCTTCTGCAATATGTTCTGGCATATCTTCTGGCACTCTATCTGGCATATCTTCTGGCATACCTTCTGACATTCTATCTGGCATATGTTCTGGCAAACATTCTGGCACTTTATCTGGCATATCTTCTGGCATTCTTTCCGACATTCTATCTGGCGTTCTATCTGGCATATCTTCTGGCATTCTATCTGGCCGTTGAGGTCCAGCGGTGCTCACTGAGCTCGGAGGGTCCCAGGTTGAGGTCCAGCGGTGCTCACTCGGACGGTCCCAGGTTGAGGTCCAGCGGTGCTCACTGAGCTCGGAAGGTCCCAGGTTGAGGTCCAGCGGTGCCCAGTGCGCTCAGACCCTTGCAGTTGAGGTCCAGCAGTGCCCACTGCGTGCGGAAGTTGGCGAAGAGCTTGGCGAAGAGTTGGCAAGGCGGAAGTGAACATGGGAGTGGATGCAAAGGTGGTGGAGGAGAAGCTGGAGGAGAGGGAGGAGGAGGAGGAGGAGCAGAAGGTTGGAAGAGGAGGAGGAGGAGCCGGAGGAGGAGAACAACTGTGATAAAATCTAACAACCCTCACCTGGCAGGTGGGGAATTATATATATATCCTGGCGTATATATATAATATATATATATATTGTATATTATATTAAATATTATATAATTTATTTTACATTATAATATTATATACTATTTAAATAAATAAATATATATATACGACTACTACGCACAGATGTGTTGAATCAAATTGGCGTGTTCAATCATAGATTGGTTGTATACTTAAAAGCATGTCGAGTGTGATATTTTGTAAAACACAATCCTCTGGTCTTGGTCACCTACCAGGAACTCACCACCCTTGTTGAACTTCTCATTGTGTTGGTCAATGGCCCTTGTAATTTCATCTCTGGTGTTCTCATCATCCAAGAACTTCTGGGCGAAGACTTTGAGGATGGGAAAGTTTCCATCACCAACCTTAATACGGGTGATGCATGCACGGGTTCTACGCAGTAGGTTTGGTTCATTGGAACACCCCTCATTGATTCACAGAATCCCTGAACCTCAGTGGAAATTTGACACCATACTGCAGAGAAAAGCAACATAACCAATCAGCTATGTTGAAAACAAGTAACCGGAGTACATACTTGATATTCCCTTGCTGGGGCAGTGGGCACTCCGGAACGCAGGGCCGAAACCAAAGGATCGAACTTGGGGAATCCTGGCAAGTCCAGCGCACCTGATCGGGACTTGTCATACACAGCATGCCCCAAATGCTTCGCCAGGTGATCCGCACTCGAATCCAGCGCCACTGAGGCGCACAAATGCCGGGCTCCACGGGTGTTTTCCTGCAGGATGGTGAGTGGGATACAACTGAGCATATTTACATTTAGATTTCGAGATTAAAGAAGCTCAAAAATAAGATTCACAATTATGTTTATCTTCATGTTGATCAACGGATCTACTCCTCCAAGACCGCCGGGGCGGGCCAGAAGTCATATCCCACAATATCGATAACCACTTTGGTTGACATTGACTGGGGGCAAAAAGCAGCAAGGGTCTTGGAGACGATGTCCGTCCCACCTGCCACCTGCAGAAGCAAGTGCTTGGAGTCGGGAATCTTTTGGGCAAAAAGATGATGGGTAATAAAATCCCAACTAAGTGTGATACAAGTACCTTCGACCCAAAACCCACAAGTTTTCTGCTATACCATGCCTGCTTCAACTCCTGCACGTCGGTCATCTCTCGTCCCAAGTTTGGTCTGGATGATGAAGCCTGGGCAGCGATTCATGGCAAGTAGCATCTACCCCTTTTGAAACAGTCAACCGGTCTACATGTTCAAGCCATTACAACTATAAGGCCATGAAAAAGGCACTCAACCCATGAAATGTTTGAGGCCATTGTAGTGATGAATCAATGATGGGCCCCCTGCCCTGAAGGCAATGTACTGATAAAGACGGTAAAAAAGCGACATGTTGCATTGAGGCCAGTGTAGCCGTATATCATTGAATGTGCAAAAAGGAAATGAATGCTGCAAACTGGATACCTCTGGTTTCACCATGTGCTGGCGCCCAAGCATGGAAACCCCATGAACGACGCCAGTCTTGAAGGCAGCACTTTTCCTGGACAGGTTGGACTTGTCAGCTCGGCTCACCACTGCCAATCCAGGAAGAACTCCATCCCTTTTTCCATACACGGTGTCCTGAGAAAATTGGTTAAATCGATCTTTTTAAGACCATATAAGTTCTTCAAAGGTTCCATTAAATCAAAGAAATTTGGGACACCTATGGAAATCCCAAAAAATCAATAAGCGCATCCAAGACTCGGGGGTGAACACCCATGTGAGGGGTCTCACATGGAGATTCCGTTCTTTGAGGGCCAAGCTTTTCCTTAAACAACTGACTGTATGCAACCCTTCATGTTCAAAGAAAGAGCGGGAAAACAATCAATGAGTTTGTTCCTATGGTTCTGGGGTGAACGATAACCAAATGGGAGAAAGGATTGATCTCATATTATGGTTAGTTCAAGTTTCTCCAATTTGTACCGCGCATCCCTGACTTCAGCATCCTCCGGCTTGTTCTGCATGTCAGGGTCGCTTTCAGCTGAGTTCTCGGAGTCACTTTCCTCCTTCTTCGTCTCTGACTTGAGGCTGGATCTTTCCTCCTTTACATCAGTGGTCCTGGCAGATTGGGCTGGATATCCCACAAGGTTGCTGGAGCCTTCCCTTAGAACTTAGAAACATCTTACTGTTTTATCCATATGAATTATGTTTCTATAATATGTTCTACATAAAGTATGATTGTGTATGCATAGTAGCTGAAACTTCTACTTAGCTCACATTCCATCGACGTTCAAACTAAAATCATTCAACAGTTTTCTGCTAAATTTCATAAACCCTGGCCCCTGTAGGAAAGAAAAAACAAAAAAGCGTTATATATCTGCAGGTACCTGTCATAAGATTTAAAACACTTAAAACGACTTAAACACAAACGGGTCTTAGTATAATCGAGTATGCAAATAGTAGATGCAACATATCTAGTAAATACAGGTGCGTATACACATCTATCATCAACTACCTATCAAATCATGTTCATGACATCATGTCAAGTTCATGCTGGAACTTCACAAGCTTTCCTAGTCTTCCATGACCGTTCTCCCATGACAGGAGGACTTTTTTCAATGACAACAGCTTAATTTTGAAATCCTTTTTCAAAAGTGTTTCACCCAAAATAATGCCAAAAAAAATATAGTTCCTTTTTTTTTGGAACTATAATTTTGAAATTCTTTTTCAAAAGTGGTTCAATGCCAAAAAAAAATATAGTTCCATATAGTTCCTTTTTTTTGGAACTATAATTTTGAAATCCTTTTTCAAAAGTGTTTCACCAAATATAATGCCAAAAAAAAATATAGTTCCTTTTTTTGGAACTATAATCTTGAAATCCTTTTTCAAAAGTGTTTCACCAAATATAATGCCAAAAAAATATAGTTCCTTTTTTTTGGAACTATAATTTTGAAATCCTTTTTCAAAAGTGGTTCACCACATATAATGCCAAAAAAAATATCGTTCCTTTTTTTTGGAACTATAATCTTGAAATCCTTTTTCAAAAGTGTTTCACAAAATATAATGCCAAAAAAATATAGTTCCTTTTTTTTGGAACTATAATTTTGAAATCCTTTTTCAAAAGTGTTTCACCAAATATAATGCCAAAAAAAATATAGTTCCTTTTTTTTGGAACTATAATTTTGAAATTCTTTTTCAAAAGTGGTTCAATGCCAAAAAAAATATAGTTCCATATAGTTCCTTTTTTTTGGAACTATAATTTTGAAATCCTTTTTCAAAAGTGTTTCACCAAATATAATGCCAAAAAAAAATATAGTTCCTTTTTTTTGGAACTATAATCTTGAAATCCTTTTTCAAAAGTGTTTCACCAAATATAATGCCAAAAAAAAAAAGTTCCTTTTTTTTTGGAACTATAATTTTGAAATCCTTTTCCAAAAGTGCTTCACCAAATATAATGCCAAAAAAATATAGTTCCTTTTTTTTTGGAACTATAATCTTGAAATCCTTTTTCAAAAGTGTTTTACCAAATATAATGCCAAAAAAAATATAGTTTCTTTTTTTTGGAACTATAATTTTGAAATCCTTTTTCAAAAGTGGTTCAACAAATATAATGCCAAAAAAAAATATAGTTCCTTTTTTTTTGGAACTATAATTTATAATGCTTTTTCCTAGAAATGTTGCTAATACATAGTCACTGTTTTGGATCCAATTTTGCTGAAAAAAACCTTGTTTAGTATTAGCAGCAACCTTTAGCGCTAATACTAAACAAGGTTTTTTTCAGCAAAATTGGATCCAAAACAGTGACTATGTATTAGCAACATTTTAAGAAAAAAATATATAAATTATAGTTCCAAAAAAAAAGGAACTAAAGATAAAAATTTAAAAAAATAAAAAGTTGTTTGGCTATTTTATATTTGGTGACGCACTTTTGAAAAAGGATTTCAAAATTATAGTTCCAAAAAAAAGGAACTATATTTTTTTTTGGCATTATATTTTGTGAAACACTTTTGAACAAGGATTTCGAAATATAGTTCCAAAAAAAAAGGAACTATATTTTTTTTGGCATTATATTTGGTGAAACACTTTTGAACAAGGATTTCGAAATTATAGTTCCAAAAAAAAAGGAACTATATTTTTTTTGGAATTATATTTGTTGAACCACTTTTGAAAAAGGATTTCAAAATTATAGTTCCAAAAAAAAAGGAACTATATTTTTTTTTGGCATTATATTTGGTGAAACACTTTTGAAAAAGGATTTCAAGATTATAGTTCCCAAAAAAAAGGAACTATATTTTTTTTGGCATTATATTTTGTGAAACACTTTTGAAAAAGGATTTCAAAATTATAGTTCCAAAAAAAAAGGAACTATATTTTTTTGGCATTATATTTGGTGACGCACTTTTGAAAAAGGACTTCAAAATTATAGTTCCAAAAAAAAAGGAACTATATTTTTTTTTGGCATTATATTGGGTGAGACACTTTGAAAAAGGATTTCAAGATTATAGTTTCAAAAAAAAGGAACTATATTTTTTTTGGCATTATATTTGGTGAAACACTTTTGGAAAAGGATTTCAAAATTATAGTTCCAAAAAAAAAGGAACTATATTTTTTTTTGGCATTATATTTTGTGAAGCACTTTTGAAAAAGGATTTCAAAATTATAGTTCCAAAAAAAAGGAACTATATTTTTTTTGGCATTATATTTGGTGAAACACTTTTGAAAAAGGATTTCAAAATTATAGATAGTTCCAAAAAAAACGGAACTATATTTTTTTGGCATTATATTTGGTGAAACACTTTTTGAAAAAGGATTTCAAAATTATAGTTCCAAAAAAAAGGAACTATATTTTTTTTTGGCATTATATTTGGCGAAACACTTTTGAAAAAGGATTTCAAAATTATAGTTCCAAAAAAGGGAACTATATTTTTTTTTGGCATTCACATCAGAAAGAGAGTCAAAGTTCAACTTCTTGGTACAAAGTAAAAAACATACATATACATATCGTCTTACATCGAACCTGACACCATCTTGTGGATTTTCATGGGGGTGCCTGACGGTGCCTGCGCCAACTCATGGCTCAGAACAGTTTTCACATTTGCTCCCATGTTTGCTATTTCGTTTTTGGACCACCAGCTGCAAGATCCCAAAACAAGCTTGCGACATAGGTTAGTGGCTTTGCCCGTATGCAAAGAACATGGTTCCACTGCATGCTGACTCAACAGCTGCAGTGGTTTGCCCATATGCAAACGGATAAATGTTTACACTGCATGCTGAATCAATAGTTGCTATCTCAGCCTTCATTGCACATTAACAAGCCTTGCCCAGAAATATAACCCTTTTTTAAAAGTTTCCACCTGGAATTACGCAATTTAGCACAGTTTTCCTAACACCAAGCATTGCAATTTTTAAGCCCCAGTCCCAGTGTTCAGCTGCGAAGCTCTGTTTGCATGAATGATTATCGCCATTCCATTGCGACGAAACTTCTGCAATGTGTTGCTTACATAGCCAAGCACCCATTCGGTTTTCTGAACGGTGAGGATGCCACAAGCAGGAAGGTTGATCCAAATGATGATTCCATGATCATCTGGATCCCTCACACACAAATCCGCCAGGCTTTCATCCAGCCACGTGTTGACCTCCGGCATGATGGTGCTCACTGCCTCAGAGGCCTTGCCAGGGAAGATTCGGAGGTTGTTGCTCATATACTCCTTGACGCATGCCCATGCCCGCGCATGCTGCTCCTGCACTAGTGGGTTGAGACAAGCAAGGTAGGTGGCAACGTAGCAACATCATAAAGGCAAAACCACCATCCCAACATAGCATTAACAATAATAACATATTGTAACCCATTGTAACCAGCAACTACTCTCACCCAAATCCACCATCTTGAGAATACATTAATGAGCCAGCTCATGGTTCAGATATGATCATGCCGTGGCTTTTGACTTTAGCTACAACGAGAGGGTAATTCCAACAGCAGCTCCTCAAGTTGCCGGATGATCTTTGCACGGTTCTTTGCGCTTGCACGGTCATTCCTTGGTAGGTCGCCCACAAGATCAAAATCAAATTGATGGTCATCCAGGCGGGGAGAAAATGGTTGGAGACGTGATGTGGCATACATAAGTGAAAATGAAATCCACCTCAACTTTAACCATCATCGTTTTGCTAGAAATTGGATTTGGACGCTGGATGCTGGGACTGTGAGAGACAGAGACTGTCACTGACACATGTAGTTGAGGATTAAAGCCAGGGCTATACTGGACCAGATGAGGTATCACAGCATCAAATACATTGCAATAAGCCTACCGGTGGTTCAAAGACTCTAAAAAACCTTAAGGAGATTGCTTCAGACCGAGCTATGAGAATCAGCTGAGGGTCAAGATGGACTCTTGTTCAAAAAGAGCTTCATCAGACTTCAGCTGTTCCAGAAACGCACGTAGAGCAGCCTGGTTTGACTTCGCTAGTGCATTCCTTGATCGATCTTGGGCATCGCTGACGAAATCCTGGATGGTCTGCCCTTTCACCTGCACAAAATCAAGTCTGGTGTGTATATTTGTCATTGGGACCCTTCAAGACACCCTTCCAATACTTTTGATTCTTCTTGGGGCATCGACAACGTCAAAAAAAGGAAATCACCAACCAAAAGGATATTGGACCCGTGATATGAATCATTTGAACACATTTGAAGATGGTTTTCTCTTTGGACCTTGCAATGTTGATAATACAAACCACCAATCTAATGGAAATTAGACTTTTCATGAAGGCCTCCAGGACAAAAGGAATACGGTGCCAGTCGAAGTCTTCAGCCGCCTTCATGATGGTGCCAAGATCGGAATCCAGTAACCTCAGGGCTCAACAATGGCATCCAAACGAAAACCCAAAAAGATCAATCAAAAATAAAGAACGTTGGCTTGTATTGGGAAATGACGGCTTTTAAAATTAACCAATCACATTTACATAAGCCATATACAGGAGCCAATCACTTTCATCCCTTAAAATTTGAACTAGAGATTCGATTGACCCCCCCCATGATATGAAATTATGACGTGGTTTTTTTTACCAATCAAAATCCAAAGCTAGTTTCATGAAACTTAGGATGATTGATTTTCTGAAGATTTGGCGCCGGCCAAATTTGACAGTCGGAGTTTGATCGATATCCCATTCGGCGCCAGCCAAATCCATTCCCAAGATTATGACGGGTTTTTTTCTGTACCAATCACAACATGTCAAATCAATTTGGCGCTAGCCAAGTCCATTCCCAGGATTATGACGGCCTTTGAAGGGGTGTTGTTAACCAAACTTCCCATTTATTTTGGCCTCAGCCAAGCCAATTCAAAAGTTGTATTTTTTGTCAAACTATAAAGACTTCCATCCCACTTGATGCAGGTGGCCCCTTCATGAAGAGATCCGCATAGAGATCCACAGTCGCGCTCGGAAACTCAGCGCGAAGCTGCGGTTCCAGCCAGCACCAACAGCAGCAAATGTCGTGCAATTGCAAGTGCCCAGCTTCATCAAGCTGCGCGCCCACCTGACATTTCCGCTGGGATGTTTTTCTTTGTTGGGGGAGGCCTAGATGAGAAATTTGGAACTGAATGGGGGCAACCTGTTATTTTGAAACTAAACAATTGTATTTTGCAACCGGTATTTTGGAACTAAACAGTTGTATTGTGAAACTAAACAGTTGCATTTTGCAACTGGCATTCTGAAGCTTCACGTTTGTATTTTGCAACTGACCAGTTGTATTTCGAAACGCGACCTTTTTTTCTGAAACTTGTATTTTGAAACTCCCAAGGTTCCCAGTCCACCAGATCACCAGGCCAGTGTGCGCACGGAGGATTCTGTCTTTTTACCTCTCCGAACATTTCACTAGTCGGCTCATGCTCACGCGCAAGCAAAGTGCATCTCGGTGTTGGTATAGAGTGCATGCAGCAGCGCAAGCAATACTCCCCACCCCACCCCATCTCGAGCGTGGCATCAAGTAAGTGCGTAGCTTCATCCAATGTTATCACACCCCACCCCACCCCACCCCACCCCACCCCACCCAATCTCGAGCGTGGCATCAAGTAAGTGCGCAGCTTGATACAACGTTATCAGACCCCACCCGAACCCCATCTCGAGCGTGGCACCACGTAAGTGCGCGGCTTGATGCATTGTTACCGAACTAAAGTAACTGGTGTAGGAATAGCTGCAGAAAGTTAGAGACGGTAGTTTCCAACTACGAGTTACGCAAGAAGAGTTGCAAAATGCGACGAAGTAGTTGCGAAATACAACCAGTTAGTTCCGAAATACCAGTTGCGCAATCCTAGTTGCGCAAGAATATAGTTGCGCAATACAACCAAATAGTTGCGCAATACGAACAAATAGCTTCGCAATATTAGTAAGATAGTTTCGCAATAGGACTTTATCCAACTGAATTGAGCCATGCATTGAACCCCCTCCTTGGCTTTCCTGGTTGCATCTTTCCCAGCTTTGCGCATGAAGTCCTGGTGGGAATTCATTCTTGAGTGTTGGCAATTCTGAAATATGTATGCCAAAGACATCAATAAATTCAAGTGAAAAGAATTATCAACCAGTCCTGAGTGGCACGTTTCGCCCACAAAAGGCAAGTTGTGGCACTGGTCTTGAGAATTTCCTGGAACACCTTCTTTGACTGATATTGAGGCGCTTCCATCCGGGCTGAAACGTCCGGTACCCAGAAGTCACTGGCCAAAATATCCAACGTGATTCCTTCAGGGTCAAGGGGTCTGTGGATGGAACTGCAGCAGTGGAAATATAACCCTCACTAAGATTTCCCCGCCCATGTCCAGACAGGCTGTGTTTGTAGCTATCATAGCGCTTGTGGATCAAGAGGTGGAAATCTTCAGGCGCCCGCAACCTTAGAGAGATCCATAATGAGAAATTTAGTTTATATACTAGTGATAATTTTACATCACCCTAAAGTCAAGAATGCTTATTTGTTTAAGTCAATAATCTAATCTATCCAAACAAATTGCTAAGGAACATGTTGTAAGCCATTGACCGGCGGGCACTGTCGATTCGATGGGCCCGTACTGTCACCATCTTATTGTACTCAGCACACATTTTGCTGAGAAGATCCTTTGTGCTCTTGTTCTCAGCCCCATTCAACCGACGCTCTATGTTGATCGCCTCCTTCAGGTCACCGTAGAATTGGATCGCGCTTGGGCTGGTCTTCTCTGCAGTGATGTGGCCCACTTCTCAGCGGAGCAGTGGGGGATGTGGACTTGTTGGTGGTGGAGTGCCAGGGGTGAAAAGAATCAAGGCTTTAATGGTAATCAAGGGTCTCAGGCTGTGGAGATGGTGGTGGGCTGGGTTGGTGAAGTATGTAAAAGAACATCTCAATCGGAAAGATTCCAACATCCGATTGACACCAGTATCCTCGAACATGCCATCATGCCATTCCTTGGGATCGACAGGGTCGAAAGTGTTCGACTTGGAGGGCAAACAAGTCATTTATATAATCGATCATGGATTGAATGTGTGGTAACTTGATCAATTCATTTGCATTCAAGTTTCCAATTCGCACATCATCGCTAAGATTGAACACATGATTAGGACCTTCGTTTGTCCATCTATGTATCCAACTGAATTCGGAAGGAGCGGTCGGCTTCCATCCGAGCGAGGAAACTTAACCTCAACGCATTCGGTGGGTCGATACCCATTCAAGAACTCTTTCCAGTGGATCTTGAACTGGCTGTTCTGCGGATAGACTGACCAGGGTTGTTACCAGGGTTTGGATTTGGGTTTCCAAAACAAGTGAGGACCATTGAGGATCACAAATCCCAGTAAAGTCAAACATCAGTGGTTTTGTTTGTAACCAATTCAGGAAACAGTAAACATGTTTTGCAACACCCCACATCCATTCTTTCCGTCCCGAGAGATGTCGAAGTAGTTGAGAGGAAGCCAGAATTCTGCCAAGGAATCTTGGGGCAACAAACTCAAAGTGGGTCGCAACTTTGATTCGGGGTCAAATCGATCCACAATCAGCATCTGAACAGCCTTAGAGGGCACGACCCAGGAACAAGACAAACCCTTAGAATGAACTTACCTGGAAATATTTTTTGGCATCACCAAGTTGCAGACCCGCTGAAACACATTGAGGTCTTCAAAGACCTTGCTGGTGTATTCTCCCAAGTTTTGGTTCTCGATCACCTTGGAGTTGCAGGAGAGCCGGGGGAAGAAAGGCCGGGGCATGAGTGCGCAATGCTTTTTGTGTGGCAATAATTAAATAAGGCCAAGACTGTGTCAAAGAAGGTGGACAATTGCCACAACGGCGATGAGGGGCCGAAATCCATTGCAGCAGTCAAAGCTGCCCTACACCCAATGGTAGACCCACTTGATTCTAAAAATGCCGATGTCAGGTGCTGAAAACCAAAATTAAGAATACAACAAACACATTGTACATCATAGCACAACGGCTTGGCTGATTTCCCCCCACTTGGCAGATGCAAGCTAGGCCACCCCCTATGAAACTTCACCTTCAGGTGAAAAGGCTTTGGCGGAGGTGGCCGCTGCCCCAACTCAACAACACCAACCCAGGACCCAGCATGTGGGCCAGCTTCCACAAATCTGAGAACCGGTGGTGGTTGCCGAGGACGGTTGTCATCCATAAGGCCCCCATAGTAATTAACTGCCCTCTGCAAATGAGGAAAATCATTTTTGAAAGCTGCAGCCAGTTTGGAAAGTTCACCCTTCCGGTCATCATCCAGCTCTGCATGGAGCACTTTAGCGCTTTGACTAATGTTGCGCCAAAAATGCGTTGTTGAAGGTTCTAGACCGGCTGGATATACCAAAAGAGGGTCTTGTGACAAATGGCTGTCAGACATATTCATCTTCACAAGAGCAAACACATCACGGGAATTCCCAGCAACTCTCAATCGTTTGGGGACTCGCTCCTCCGTCACCATGCCGTCACCATGACCAGGTAGGTCTGCCGAGAAGAAAAGGGAAAAAAAGGAAAATGAAAGGCTGAGAGGGAAATGCTGAATAAATCGTAATGCATTTAGGCAATCACCCGGCCTTCACGCCGCAAGAAAGTAAATGCTTGTGGTACTTTCATACGTTCATCAGGGTCTTTTGACTTTCGATCTCTGTAGGCATTGTACAAGTGAGCACAGCTGGGCATCAAGCCATTCCAATCCCGGATCTCAGTTGAAGCCCAAATGATTCCACCATTCAAATCAAGGCAGAAAACAGAGCAGCATCCAGAACCCAAATCTCTTAAAGCAGCCAAGCATCCTCCTCTACAATTTCCACAACGCATTCCATACCGTAGGAACCAAATAGAGGCCCCACGCGAGACTGAATCGCCCTGGGATGCAGCAGGCCCAGGGGCAAAACAGAAGTTGGAAACATGTTGACATGTTGATGTAAGTTGAAAACCATGAGGACAGTCTGCCCATGGCGATCCTTTGAATATCGCGAGGTGTTTGTAGATCTGGGGTTGAATTCAACGCCGTTGTCACCACAGCCAGCGCCGCATCTGGATTGCAGACAGCAGATAGAGATTCAATTTACCATATTGAAACCTGTTAGTAAAACATAAACCATATCTATGAAACGATGAATCAGATCTGGGCCCGCCTACGTCTTCATGGGTATGACCCACACTCAGGTGGCACTGGCTCACCTGGGAGAAAAAGCCTGCTTGTGTGAGAAGGCAGCTCCACTTTCCCGTAGAAGCATTGCGGACTTCTTTGCCCGCATTATCGGCTTGCAACCACATCCTCAATGTTAGTAATGACATAAATCATAAATTGCGACATAGTCACTGTGAACCTATCAAGACTTTACATAAATCCAAGAAACTCGTATGGAAAGCTCTTGCCAGATCTTCGCGCGCATGACCATACATGATCCAGCGTCCGCATAATCTTAGATTCAGTGATGGATTATTGAGGGTAAATGGAATCAAAGGGGCAAGGAAAACCAATCCCAGCACGACCCACCATGCAGCCAAGACACAACCTCCAAGGTCCAGTTAGCTCCTCCAGGCATGCCTTCACCACCAATGAAGAAGTAGATGCCCCATCCATGAGCTATACTGCAGGTCAAGGTCAAAGATGTTCCTGAGATGGTGGGTTTCTGAGATAATAATCATGGCCTGATAGGTGATATGTGTGCATGAACAAAATTTCATGATACACATGCTGCTTAGAATCGCCTGATTGTTTCATAGACACTTGACTTTGGGGGTCGCCGACGAGGGAACAACCGGGGAAGCATCATTTTCTGATGATCGTAAGAGTCAACGATCATTGTCAGCATGTCACGGATGGCTCGAGAGCGATCTCGAGCCATCCAGTAGATCTCGCGATCCCTCCATTGTTGGGTGTAGTGGCCAAGTAAAACGTCGCAAAGACGTGCATGCTCCTTGAAATCCTTATTTTAAGACAGAATCTTGGTGAATTTTAAAGCTAATCAAGAAAAAATGAGACAGCATGAGACAGCATTATGTTGACTGATTGCTTCAAAGGGTCGCTTGCATTGGCTATTTGTGCTTTCAAAGTCGAACAAAGAAGGCAGGTTGAATGGACGGAAGGCTTATGAAACCGAAGACAAACTTTCCAACGCTTTGCAACATCATAGAAAACTGATTTGCATGCTGGATCTTCCCCAGCTGATTGGCAGTATGCAACATAGAGCAGGAAGAGCGTTGCCCAGTTGCCATGTGGTAGTTTTCTCTCTGGTAACCCCTCTGGACTATGGTGGAAACCGATTTGCAAGGCAGGCCCCATCAACTTGCTGTCAATCAGGCGGTTCAGTAAATCTTCTCGTAGGGTCTCATCCGAAATGTCCAGCATAGATTTTGGGGTCTCCCTAGGGAAAGCGATGATACACAACTGGGCACTCCATTCTGTTTGAGAAACACCAAGTACCTATCACGCAGTTGTTGCCACATACATTGCACACAGGGGTATAAATTGCAATATAATTTATATAGTAGCGATGGCTGTTATCGCAGCTAAGTTTCAATACGGTCATGGTCTCACCGGCACTCCAGTACATGTGCACGAAGAAGGAGTTTACAGAAGCCGACTTCGTTGCACTTCGTGCGTGGGGTCCTGAGCTGGCTGGTGAGTGGCAGGGGACAATGTTGACGGCTGATATTTAGCAAAAGTGCCCCATCGCAATAAATTAGGCTAGTATCCACCAGGTCCAGAAATGGATCGTCGATCTTTGCCAAAGAAATTCTGCTTGCACCGGTTCAATCTCCCTTTTCCGATCCCCAAGAAAGCCACCCATGCGTCCTTGCACATGTGGTTCCCCTGAAGAGCCCACTTCTTCTTTCCAGACCCTGCCTCCTTTTGGAGGCTCCAAAGAAGGGAATCTTGCGTTGTTTTGCTCAAGTGCCAAAAAGCTTGACATATCATCATCAGAATCCTAATGGGCATGGTACACTTGCAAGAGCAGCGGGGCTTGTCCAACACCTTTTTGCATCTGGCCTTCGACAGGCCACCATTAACATATTCACCCCTGGGCTCTCGGTTTGACTCCTTCTCCACAGCATGCAGCGATTGCAATCGCTGAAGGGACAGATCAACAACCCCTGAGGCAAGATCCAGCACCTCCGATGACGAAGAGTCTTCACCGCTAGAATTGGACTCGTCCTCAGAATTGCTGGTCCTGGGCTGGAAGATCGCAGGGTAAGTATGATTCCGTAAAATGGCGGCCAAGGTTGAAGAGATTAAAATGGATACACCAAATTCACGATACGGTCAACTATTCTTACTTCTTGATATTGTAACCCAAGGGTCTCAGAGCCGGAAGAGGCATCATACCGCCAACCAGATGCAGTTGCAACATGTGCTGACGCACTGCTGCTCTCAGAATCATTTTCATCCCACCGGGCAAGAGGCATCACAAAAACCAATTTGGCTGACATCTTGAAGTGTGAAGTTTGGTATGATTTATGAATCCATCTTCACAGCAACAGCCCTGAGTATGCACGGACCAGTTTGCCAGTTTTTCAGGCTAGCCATGCACTCCTAGATGGGATCCACAGCTGCTTTCAGCTTCATTGGGTCCGTTGCCGTCAAAGCCGCACAAATGCTGGCCATGATGCAGCGCATATGCATGGAGTTCCCACCCATAGAGTGAAGTACCTTATTATCCCGCTATCCCCAGTTGAACTTTTGCTTCGCTGATCCCTTCCCAAGGCCAGCGCATGTGATCTGTAGCTGAGCGACGCTCTCGGTGCGCGTCGAGATGTCCAGGTGGTGGATAGGAATTCCCTGAAGGATCATCGCTTCACGCCCCATTAGATAACGCTGATGGGTGGCAACCAGGAACTTGCCAGAAGGCCTTAGCAAACAGAAAGCCATTTTTCTGATGGTATATTGTTTTGGCAATGAGATATATACCAAAACTTAGCCCTAGACGTAATGCACGGAAAAGGTCTCTCTGCAGTTGAGATGTTGGGGAGGGCTCCCAAGTTCTGGCTGGTGTTGGCAGCTGCAAAGTCCCCCTTGAAGGCCAATAGCAAATTCATTGCCTAGCAGGCATGTGAAAAAGAAAAATACTTTACTTTGAGTTATCCCCACCATGACATCTATACGTTTTGTTACTGGCAAATCTTCTGGCATTTTATCTGACATATCTTCTGGCATTTTATCTGGCATATCTTCTGGCATTCTATCTGGCATATCTTCTGGCATTCTATGTGGCATATCTTCTGCAATATATTCTGGCATATCTTCTGGCACTCTATCTGGCATATCTTCTGGCATACCTTCTGACATTCTATCTGGCATTTTATCTGGCATATGTTCTGGCAAACATTCTGGCATTCTGTCTAGCATACCTTCTGGCATTCTATCTGGCATACCTTCTGGCATTCTATCTGGCATATCTTCTGGCATTCTATCTGGCATATCTTCTGACATTCTATCTGGCATATCTTCTGGCATTCTACCTGGCATATCTTCTGGCATATGTTCTGGCATTCTATCTGGCACTCTATCTGGCATATTATCTGGCATTTCTTCTGACATTCTATCTGGCAAAGCTTCTGGCATATGTTCTGGCAAACATTCTGGCATTCTATCTGGCATACCTTCTGGCATTCTATCTGACATTCTATCTGGCATACCTTCTGGCATTCTATCTGGCATATCTTCTGGCAAACATTCTGGGACTTTATCTGGCATATCTTCTGGCATTCTTTCTGACATTCTATCTGGCGTTCTGTCTGGCATATCTTCTGGCATTCTATCTGGACGTTGAGGTCCAGCGGTGGTCACTGAGCTCGGAGGGTCCCAGGGTAAGGTCCAGCGGTGCTCACTGAGCTCGGAGGGTCCCAGGGTAAGGTCCAGCGGTGCTCACTCGGAGGGTCCCAGGTTGAGGTCCAGCGGTGCTCACTCGGACGGTCCCAGGTTGAGGTCCGGCGGTGCCCAGTGCGCTCAGACCCTTGCAGTTGAGGTCCAGCAGTGCCCACTGCGTGCGGAAGTTGGCGAAGAGCTTGGCGAAGAGTTGGCAAGGCGGAAGTGAACATGGGAGTGGATGCAAAGGTGGTGGAGGAGAAGCTGGAGGAGAGGGAGGAGGAGGAGCAGAAGGAGGTGGAGGAGGAGGAGGAGCCGGAGGAGGAGAACAACTGTGATAAAATCTAACAACCCTCACCTGGCAGGTGGGGAATAATCTTGATGAAAAAGCAAGACAACTCATTACTCACTGTCTTTTTTACTGACTATCTTCTAGATTCGTCTAGTTTTCCTATTATTCCCAAGCCTGCATTTCTCTGTGGGTAGTAATGCACCGTGCAGCTTGAGGATACCGACGAGCAAGTAGGTTCGATGATGCCACCATATCCACCTGCCCGGGCATCATGCGATGGATTGGAACCGTTGGGTTTACAGTTGGACTAGAGGTTATGCAGTGGTTTGAATTCGTTAGTTGGATGGGCGTATCTTGCCTTCCGCTCTCTGGCCCAACTTCTGTGCCGCTCAATCCATCTCGCCGAAGGATTTATGGACCTTGACAGCCACAATTGGGTGATCAACTATTGTTTCAAAATTTATGTATTTGGTCTGTTTTTACTGGGAAACTCATGCCAAAACCTTGAGGCAAGTAGCTTGCCAAGGTTTATCAACCTCAACTTCTCTCGGCGGCTGATGTCACGCTGGACAACTCCACATTCGTTTGGCAGCAACAAATCCGACCTAAGTTGGAGAAAGAACCATCATGTTTTCCCCAAGGGTTGTTTCATTCAAGTGAATGACTCTAACATGCACATTTTTTTCAACAATACTCTGACTAATGTTGGCAAAGGGCCAACGATATTTGCAGGGCTGCTGCATTTCACCCAATTTCAGCTGTATGAAACGCGCAAAGTCTCTCAGAGCCTCATCTAATACAACACCTCTGCGCACAAATATCAGATACAATCTGTTCCTGGATAGGTGGGCCCCGAAGTCCGTCCTTGGTAGCAAGCATTAGCTAGTTGCTAACACCTGGAGCTTAAAAACCACTGTGACGTTGGCTCAGCTACTAGACTTGCCGCCACGAATCGGTGTGAGATTCATGCAAACGTCCAAGTACCTGGCAGCTGTGAGAATGGAAACCCATACCCGGCAGTTGTGATCATGGGGGCCCCAACCTTTCAAACCAGGAGGGACGCATGATGGATGTAAACAGATTTATCTGAACATAAGTTTGTTGCAGCTAGATTGCTCAGGAAGGTTTCTGCGAATCAACGCCATCACCTTGTCAATCACCCGGAGGAAGCCGATCACATTCTCCAATATCATTACCTTAAAATCACATGAGTAGGTAGATGAACCATGAGTAGGTAAATGAACCATGATGAAACACTAATTTGCTAATAAGCTAATTGATGCTAAATGGATATATAATATATAATAATTGGATAAGACTAGGCACTGTTGGTCTTGTAGACCGGGCAACCCGCAGGATCTTGAACAGCTGCCGGGCATTTGGATCTCGTAGGAGTTGAGATGCCCTGTGAGGGCTAGAATAAGGAGTACAAGGAAGCCCACATACGTAGGCACATAGACGGTTGGTCATCCAGCGAACCCTTTTGGTCAATACATCGGAGTCCAGCCTCAGGGCTTTGCATTCAGGCCCACTAAGACAGTGGATGGTGTTTTTCACATTTGCCTTTACTGCATGCCACATTTTAGCCAAGAAACTGCGGGCAGGTAAAGTTGGTGTGCAAAAAGCGGCGCTTTGAAGGATCGCTTTCACTCGCAGACCTTGGGCCAACAAGCTAAATAGAGGGCCTTAAGAGTGCCAAAGAGTCTAACATGTGTTGCTTGTGGTGCCAAATGGGTTATGGTAAATTAAGGGCCCAACAAATATTCAAGCCGGTCTTTGCATTCAGCAGCGGCCCAAAGCATGGTCAAAGCTATCCATGGTGTATCAGCGCCACTACCTTATATGGACAAGAATTGTGTGTCCCAAAATTGAACATACCGGAAATCCAATCATGCAAATAGTTTCTGACAAGGTGCAGTCAGAGGCAAATGTAAATGTTTGACCAAAGGTACGGATCCATGGCCCCAATCCTTAGATCGAGGAAATGTTTATTGGAATTGTTGAATGTACCCCTCAATGCGCATGCACTGCTAATGGGCCAAGATTCCGGATAACAGCAAAAAGGTTCCAGCAATATCCAGATAATCGCGTTGGGCATTCGTCATTGGGTTTTCCTGCCAGTAGTGAAGAGACTACAGTTACAGGGATAGGCCCAACCAGCCACAAAATCAAAAATCACAAGTTCCCCCAATCATCCTGTCCTCAATCGAAGACGAAACATCAGATGATCCATCAACCGACGAGGAGTCAGAGCTTGAATCACTGATGTCATACCGCCATGACATTTTGGGCAAGAATGGCTACTGAACCCTTTGGTTCCCATCCCCCACAGAGTTCCAGTTCCATTCTGGAAAAGACCCAGTTAGAATCAGAATTGCATATGTAAGATTACATTTATCTAGGTCCCCCCCAAAACAGGGGGTTGGAAAAATGTAAGTTACATGTTCGATGGTTCGAAGGTCTTTAAGGCGGAAAAAAAGGAATGTGGGGGCTGCAGTATGCTGCAATCTGTTGATCAAAAATTTCCAGTGAACCCTGATAAAACTGTTCAATTCCAGCTATTTATGCCCACCAGTTTCCATCAGTTTCCTTTGGACTCATGTTTGGACATTCATCACCGCTTTCCAGCATGGCAGCTCCGCTATTTTCAAACATGTTTCCCATCAACGCGCTCGTGTTCAATACCGTTTCTTTTTCGATGACATACGTTTGTTTTTAAATGCATGTCCGCTCATGACTTCTAAAGCCTGCGAAACCCAAAGCAAGCATTATAATACCCCAGAGGATTTGCCACACAAAAGCCTAAGGCCAACCCAATCGTATTTCATTGCAACAACGAACACCCGCACATTGAAACCATAACACAAGATTGCCGAAGGAAAGTTAGAAGTCAAACTTTTGACAATGTGGACAGATGAAAAGCAAAGATGGGAAGAGTCAGAGAAGAGAAGTGAAGAAGCAAAAAAACAAAAAGAAAAAGAGCGTGAAGAAAGAAAATTCGGGGGTGGGTCGGCGGCAGGGGCGGCTTGCGTATACGAGGCCAGCCCGTGTCCTTGTCGGAGGCCTTCGGTGGTAACCGAAGGTTATAGGCACTGCGCCCCCTGCCGCCGACCCACCCCCGACGCACCCCCATACCACTCCCGGTCGACTGAAGGACCTGTAATTTACGGTGTCTTTTGCTTGCGGTGTTAAAAAACATCGTTTCTTACAGTGTTTCGGGCCCTTCGGCGGCAAGGACTTTCATCTTGGCGATGTTAAAAAAACTTTGGTTTTTACGTGGTTTTGGGCTCCATCCAGGAGGGGGCCCGGGGCGGAAAAAATGGCATCGTAAGATCGTTTCACCATAGACCTGGCCCCAACACAGCTCCCATGGGCCAACATAGGGCCAACATAGGCCAACATGGGCCCAACATAGGCCCAACATGGGCCCAAGATGGGCCCAACATAGCGCAACATGGGTCCAACTTGGCCCAACATATGCCCAAGATGGGCCCAACCTGGCTCAACATGGGCCCGACTTGGCCCAACATAAGCCCAAGATGGGCGCAAGATGGCTCAACATTGGCCCGACTTGGCCCAACATGGGCACAACCTGCGCTCAACATAGGCCGCCCAGCCTGGAGCCAACATACTGCCCAGCTTGCCTGACCGGCGCCCGGCTGTCAGGTGTAAGCCTTTACTGTAAATAACTTTCGGTTACCACCGAAGGCCCTCCATGCAGGCAGCACACGGGCCCGTGGCCGGCGCCCGGATTTAAAGGCTTACGCCTGACAGCCGGGCGCCGGCAGAGAAAGGGCCGGACGCGCTCCCTGGTCGTGCGCCGCAGCGGCTCTGAGGTCGATACTGCTGATGATGATGCTGCTGCTGCTGCTGGTGCTGCTGCTGCTGCTGGTGATGCTGGTGATGGTGATGCTGGTGATGCTGGTGATGCTGGTGATG